ATATTGATACAAGATATCACTTCATAAGAGAAAGTATTGCAAAGAAAGAAGTGCAGCTGAAATATGTAACCTCCCAGGAGCAGATCGCTGACATTCTCACTAAGCCACTCAAGCATGATGTGTTCCGCAAGTTAAGAACTCTACTTGGAGTGTCAAAATCAAGTTTAAGGGGGGATGTTGAGTAGTAAACTTGATTTTTGGACTAAATAATATGGGCTTAAGGATTTTGCTTATAGGCCCAAATCAATTAAAAGACCCAACATGCATAGCATTTCTAGAAGCATTATCTAGAAAAATCTATATAAATATCTACTAGAAATATCTATATAAATATCTAAGTAAGATATGTAGTTTTATAAAGAATATCTAGAGAATTCTAGGAAAATATCTTGATATGTGGTCTAGGTGTCTCTAGAAAATATGTGGACTAGAATCTTCTTGTAAACACTATATAAAGGGGTAGTGCCCTCCATTTTGTAACAAGCCAAAAAGTGTGTAAAGTCTTGAATTTGAGAAATACAAGTTTCCTCTTTTTTCACTTCCTTCTTCCTATTAGTGTTGTCCTCTTAAAAGCCTTAGTCAATCCAAGTTAGTAAACCCATCTTTCCTCCAACAAGTTTTACTTCTATAACCCACTGATTTTACAGTTAACCTTTTCGGAATCAGACATGGACCCAGACGAGTACAAAATATAAGGACTTCTCGATTCTCTGACATATATACTTCATTCCATATCTTACGTAAAACAACGAAGGTAGGAAATAAAAAAAAAAGAAAAAAAGGGAAATGATGCAGAAAAAGCATAAAACTAGCACTTAAAGGAATAATGCGAATAAGTTGAATTTTCCATACAAAATAGGCTAACCCACCAGTTAAGCGAGTTGCCTTGTAAAACCACAACAACGCCAAAAATGGACCTCCAAATGAGTACATGGAGTCACACAAACTAGCGTCCTCAATGGGAAAAATATTGGAAACCTGTAGAAATTGAAGCCAACCAAAAGAAAGCAATCATCTCAAGGACAATATATGACTTCAATACATCACTCCAATGTACAATTTCTTTCATGGTCTGTAGAGATCAAGGGAGATCGAGATTGAGTGGCATGTAGGTCGCATCGCCGCTGCTACAGGACCCTCAGTGGCAGTGGGAGCACCGGGGCCAAATCTTGGCCCAGGTTGGTACGCCAAGACCAAGGGGCACCGAGGCCAGATCTTGGCCCAGGTGGGTCCTCCGAGACCAATGGGGGTCGGGATCGAGTGGCGCGTAGGTCGCAACACCGCTGCTACCGAGGCCTTGGTGGTGGTGGGAGTACCGAGGCCAGATTTTGGCCCAGTGTTCAGTCTAAAATCGAGATCAGGGGAGATCGAGATGGAGTGGCATGTAGCTCCATCATAGCTGGAATGTTTTAACGACTATGGCTTGAGGCTTGATGCAGTCGACTGCACGATTTCTAGCTCAGGCTGGAAGATTTTGAAAAGGAGAAAATGGAATTGAACGTTATCGAATCCAAACCGGTATATATTTCATTCTGTATTTTAATAAATAGCGTACAACGAGATATTTTTTTTATCATATTTTAAATAATAAATAATTAATTACGAAAAGTATTCTCTCCTCGTCTCAAAGCATAGAACAAAATATTTGAAGTAAATCATCATTAATGAAGAGATGTACTAATTAATGAAAAATTGAAGATAAGAATTTAACTCCAAAAAAATAAAAAAAAATGATTGCTATAACGTGAAGTACAATTAAAATGTCATGTAACGAATAAAAATTGGAGTACCAATATAAATTGACATCCTTTGATAGAGACAAAAAATAAAAAATCTGAAACATGTTTTTTTTGCTCGGATTATATTATATTGGCTATATGCTAACAGAAATGTAATACAAAAGAGGTAAATAACAGAAACTACTTCAAAACATTATTGTTCATTTAATTATTGATTCAAAGCTCCAAATTTGCATTTAGCCTAAACTTTCCGAATTTGCTCCATCTCTTGCGATTCTAAGTCTGGTTCCTTGTCAATATTTATTGTTGTAGTCATATATATGTTAAGAACATGAATTGTTGGCAGCAGAAGTTGAACACTCTGCTTAAAACTTCTTCACGTACTAGAGATACAAGCAGTGCATAAAGAGAGCAGCATAATTATGGGGTAGATATACCAAAAGACATCTTGAGGGAAGAATAACGAGGCCAAGAAACAAACCAATAGGGTAACTGAGTAATTCTTGACTTGAATGCGTATGTATCCCATATCAACTTGAGGTGTCAATTGGATTTCAATGGAGATGAAGGAGAAGAGAAAGAAAAAGCTAGCAAAACTTGATCCAAGTGAAGTTCTCAATTACTATACCAAATGGATTCCATTCCCAAGGCATGGCTGTATATGGTTTCAATATGTTTACAACGAATAGGAGTAATTGGAAACTTCAGTTGGATCCATTTGGTATAGTAATTGGAAACTTTAGTTGGATCAAGTTTTGGCTTCTCGCTAGCTTCTTCTTTCTCTCCTCCTTCATTTCCATTGACACCTCAAGTTGATATGGGATACATACGCATTCAAGTCGAGAATTACTCAGTTTCCCAATTGGTTTGTTTCTTGGCCTCAGTATTCTTCCCACAAGATGTCTTTTGGTATATCTACCCATAATTAAGCTGCTCTCCTTATGCACTGCTTGTATCTCTAGCACGTGGAGGAGTTTTAAGTAGAGTGTTCAACTTCTACTGCCAACAATTCTTATACTTAACATATATATGACTACAACAATAAATATTGACGAGGAACCAGACTTAGAATCGCAGGAGATAAAGCAAATTGAGCAAGTTTAGGCCAAATGCAAATCTGGAGCTTTGAATCAGTAATTAAATGAACAATAATGTTTTGAAGTAGTTTCTGTTATTTGCCTCTTTTGTATTACATTTCTGTTAGCATATAGCCAATGTAATTCGATCAAAAAAAATGTGTTGCAGATTTTTAGATTTTTTATTTTTATTTTTTTGTCTCTACAAGAGAGAAACTTGGGTGGGGCGGTCGCACCATCCACGTGGTACGATTGCCCAACCCCGAGGCGCCAGCTCTGTAGATGGCCCACATACCCCCGGCCACCGCACCGCCACGTGGTGCAACCGCCCTACCTAAATTTTTTTCCTCTATCAAAGGATGTCAATTTAGATTGGTACTACAAATTTTATTCGTTTCACTACATTTTAATTGTACTTCGCATTATAGCAATCATTTTTAAATTTTTTTTGTCAAATTCTTATCTTCAATTTTAATACATCGTGTCATTAATGACGATTTACCTCAAATATTTTTTTGGGCGACTTTTGCGACAATTTTCCCATCGAATCCCTTGGAGTTACGGGGAGATGTTGGGTGTAATTGAAGAGAATATTGTCGACTTTCCAACGTTATCAAAATTTGACGATAATCCATGGTCAAAAGTGGCCGAAATGTTGCAACAAAAGCAGCCCAAAAAATTGAAAATGTGGTTTTAAACTTCAGTGACCGTTTCTGTAAATTTTTAAACTTCAATGACCATTTCTGAAAGTTTTTAACTTCAATGACCATCTCTAAAAGCGCCCTGAAACTTAAGTGACCGTTACTGAAAGTTTTAAACTTTAGTGACCGTTTTGTAATTTTTGCATAAGTTCAGTGACCGTTTTTGAAATTAATCCAAAAAAGTTTGCATGTAGAGTTTCATGTTTCTTAAAATGTACAAACGAATCTCACGAAAAACAATTTAAAACATTCTAATTAAAGAAAAATATTTTATATTCTTAATTAACCCACCAACTCCTACACCCATCCCCTACATTCCACCACCACTACAAAATTAATCAAAGATATAATTAAAAGTATAATAAAAGCAAAATAATAATAATAATAATAATAATTAACATAGAAAAATAAAAATAAAAAAATTTATGGCCCCATTCGACCCCATTAATTTTAATTGTAATGGGGGAAATAGAGTTTTTTTGAAAAATGAATGGTTGTAAAAGAATAAAAAGTTTTCGATTTACTTCCAATATTATTTTATTGAAAATTGTGTGATTTAAAATAAGAAAGAAAAATTTAATTTAATTTGATGAGATGTAATGGGGGGCAAACGAGGGCAATATAAAAACGAATGGCGCTTATTCCTCATCAAATAATTTTTAAACTTTTAATTCTTTTTTTTAATTATTTGATGGTGGTGTTGATGGAGGAGGATATGCATAGGGGTTGAGATAGGGATAGGTGGTTAATTGGAAAAATAATTTTTTTACTAGAATGTTTTAAATTGTTTTGCATAAAATTCATTTGTAATTTTAAAAAAAATTATAAAATCTAGATACAACATTATATATATATGTCTATCTAAAGACGATGATAAATTAGTCATTTTATAATGTTATAATAGAAAAAATGGATGGTAAGGATCTTTTAAGCAAAGAAATGTTGATCTAAGTGTTCAAATGTCAAAATTGAAATGATAAGAACTATTCACGCAATTAAAGCAAACGATAGGCACGTTTTTGCTCCAAATTACACATATTTAACTGAAAGATTTAATGAAATATGATGGAAAGCACCGATTCTGCAAGAAACGTTTGAAATAAGAGTGTAAATGGCAAGTTTGAAACAATATGGACCATTTTCACAATGAGTACAAACGATTGGAATGCCTTTTGCTAATTACCCTAAAGTATATTTACTCTCTAGATATCAAGGGAATTTAGCCGTTGTCTAACACCAATTAAAATTTTAATATATTTTTCTCTTTTCTTTTCAATCATGTATTCATCAATAAAATAATATTACAAGTAAATCAAAAAATTTCCTTCTTTTTTAACCACAAATTCTTCCAAAAAATACTATTCCATAATACAGATTACCAAAATTTCTCATTATAATGGATGTAAAACAAAGGCTTAATATAAACTAATTTACACTTTACTTTTATAATAAATAATGTTATTCATAGTGAAAATTATTGATAGTCATCCTTCATAACATACACATGACAATGTGTTATTTGAATTTTGATGCATAGGACGATAAAAAATTATCATATTAATGTATCAAATAATGTCATGTGTACGTCACGTAAGATAGCTATCGATAGTCCTCACTATGATTATCATTACTCTTTTATAAATATAACATGTCCAAACGTGGCGACAAAAATGGAGCCTCCGAGCTCCTATAGAGAGATTGCCGCATTGACTATAAATAAACAAAAGCAATGAAACTATTGTGAAACAATAAAAATTTTCAAAAATAATCAATTCTTCTCGACGAGTAGAGTTAAAAGGCTAGTTTGAAACGAAAGATAGTGCATTGCACCGTGATGCAGCAGGGCAGCATTGGTGAAAGGGCAAACAGGGCAACATCTGTGAAAGGTAGTAAAATAAAGGGAACCACCATAAGAGAGGAGAATTTGATTTCAGAATTTAAAAATCCCAGCCTCTTAATAAGTATAACGAAAGGAGGGCAAGAGTAAAAATGCTTAAACGAGAAACTTAGCTTGAACTAAACTGCTCTATATAGTAGAAAATGATGGAGTTAAATGTTTCATTGACCACCAAACTTTACACTAGTCACGATTTATTCACCGAACTTCATTAATTGTCTCATTGGCCACTGAACTTTGCTCCGTTCAACTCCATCACTCACCCGTTCAAAACCGTTAATAGACGTGCTGATGTGGCGAATGGAAAAATGACGTGGCCGGTTAACTCCTTCCAAGTAGTAAGTGATTTGCCAACTAAGCTTCCACGTTAGTAATGGAGCATCCAAACACGGCATTACCAATTTCATTTCACACGACTTTACAGAATTATAACCCAATTAGTGTGAAATCTCTCTCAAATTACTTCCTCCCATTCGCGAAGAACCCTAAGTATCTGAACCAAGATTCTCCAAAAATCTCTCAAATCCTATCATCCTGAAATCCATTTCTATAAAATCTCACATGAAGTCTCTGTATTCTGAAAATCCATTCAATTCATTCGGGTAATTTCCCATGATATGGTAGGACACGAATTGATGATTTTTGAATGGAAAATTGGTTTTGTTCATAACTCATTTTATTTTTGGTTTGCATCTTCGTCTTTCCGATAATGGTCAAGAACACACTACTTTCTAGTCGTTAATGGAGGAAAAACATGTTTATACCATTCCTCTCCATAATCCAATTAACACTCATTTTGGGTATTCTGCCAATGTGAATGTTGGGTATTTTGTGTTTGGCTCTAATAAAGATAGCTCATTGTTGAAACAGGTGACTGGAAAAAAGGCCCTGTTGATGAAACTACTTTGACCGTTGAAGGATTTGAATCCTGATGGAACTACTTTGCTTGTTGATGAAATGAATAACACTAAATTAAAATTTGGTAGTAGGTGTGTTTTAGGTACTGAATTTCAGAAAAAGCCTCCTATTTAAACTCTCGAATGAGATGAAGGGATTAAAGATTGTTAATTTTGCAGTGTTGCTGAGAAGAGTAAAAAATTTGGCAGCAATTCATCTGTCTGTCACTGCCAATAACATATTCATGTTTGCAATCAATGGAAGGGGGGTATCCGTTGCCTTTGTCCACCATTTATGGTAATAGGAACTGGGACTGGTTGTGCTTGGAAACAGCTACAATTTGCTTCATTAAAAATTCTGGTAATTTGTTCTATTTTACTGTATTATTTTTTATTGCATTCCCAGTTCTATCATTATTTGTTTATTTAATTAATGTTTAATGACACATCTTTATGCTTTTTGTCCTTCATTTATCTCAGTTAAGTAGAGCCATATACCACACCAACAATTTGAAGCAGATCAAGGATGGAACAATTGTGAAGCACCTCTATACTAAAGTTTTCAACCGATTTCGTATTTTGTAATGTCCAAAGTTTTGTTTTTGGCATGTAAATTGAAGTCAGATTGGGATGGTACAATGTTGTTGTTGAGATAGAACATATTCACATTTATGAAATCAGTGGGTTGCTGCTTCCATAACTATTTTAAGCACTAGACGTTGAGATGAATTATGTTTAAAGCACTACATGAAATCAGTATGTTGCTGTTGCCATAACTATATTAGCTTTCGACTAGTTGAAGAATGAGGTATTAGAACATCGTGGAACTTGTACGAAAGCAAGTCTTCGAAGTCTTAACTGCAGCAGTAATGTAATTAGACTACAAATATTATAGTACTGTAACTATCTTCAAATGATTCTATAATATCTTGATGAATGAAACTAACAACATCAACAAGCATACCTACACATGGTAAAATATCAAATCAAATCAATTCAATTTCCCGAATAATGGTAAGATCCCAGGTGAACAAAATCAATTCAAGCTTTATAAGAAGTGCATACAACGGCATAACTAAAAACACATTACGAATACAATAACATTGGTCCAACTTGATGAATATTCTAACATTTTTTAAATCAACAACATAGGCAGTCTAATTTCACGGAGTTCTTCCCTTCTATTTCCCGTTCTTTTCTACATGACCTTTACCCTTGCGGATAGTAACATTGAATGAGATTTCCACTTCCTCTTGTTCGATTATGTGAATCCTTCAATACCCAAGACAAATCTTCAATTGGAATGTCGGGCTGAGAGTTACCCGAACAAACACATCGGTTTTCACCACTGGACTCACCCTCAAATTGCACATATTCTTCCATGCCATGGAAACCTGCCATTGCAGCCACGAACAGTAAGACAGTCATATGGTTATCGTAATGAATTGGCAATACACACACCAACATTTATGCTTACTACTCATAATTAACATCTAGGAACTTGAAGGTATGAGGGCAATATTTAATGGATGAGCTGTTTGTTTATACTCTAGCACAAAATTTCCAAACGAAAATCAACAACGTGCTTAATCCAACTTTGTGAATAGCATTAAGTTGTAAGCATGGCATTAAGAGTTCATCAAGCTTAGAAACATCTAATCTCGTTCGGCATAGTTAATTCTGTCATAAAATTACAACTCATTAACATTTGGACAGTAACATATGAAGAAGAAAATATTCAACTTTAACATTCAAAATGTACTGCAATTTCACCGTCTCACATTTAAGGTGCTAAATGTGAAAATTGTTAATAAGAGACTCAACTTTATCAAAAACGCAAAACCAAAAATCATGCATTTTCTATTAAAGTTTGACAGACTCAACGTTAAGTGCTTGGTTTCACATCAATTAAACATTGCAGAAACTTTTCCAATTGAGTTATCGCACAACTTCAATTTTTTTCGGGTCGTGTCATTATAATAAAAAAAAGCACAGAAATAAGAACCAAGAAATCCATTATTAAATAAAGCCAAAAATGAGTTATTTATCTAAATTTCCAAAACAGAGGCAGAAAAAAATTATTCCACTAAGCCCACTAAAATGGCGGAATTACCTTCATCAGAACCGTCCATGTGTATGCCTTCAAGTGTGTAGAACAATTGCGGATTTTTAGCTCACATACTTCGCAATTTGATCGGGGCTAGGATTCTTGAGCTGAATTTGGGGATCACGACATAGAAGAGTGGCCTATTGTTTGTTCACATACTTTCGATTCAATCTTGCAGGTTGGGTGCTTGAGTTGCAGTTGGGATTGCAACCTAGAATAATGGTCTATTCTTTGTTCCCATACTTCACGAATCCATTTTGAGGGTTAGGGTTCTTCAGGTGAACGTTGGGGATCAATTGATTTGAGGAAGAAGCTTAGTTGAGATGAAATTAGGATTCTTCGTGAATGGGAGAGGAGCAATTGATTTTGAAGGAGAATCTGATTTGGCATTTAGCCCCTGTTTGATCTCCATTAAATTAAATTACATTACATTACATTTTTCTCTCTCCTATTTTCAACCACACAATCTTCCATAAAATAATATTACACGTAAAACGAAAACTTTTCTTCTTTTTCAACCGTTCATTTTTCTAAAAAAATACTATTTTTCCCATTTTCATTTTCAGGTAATGGGGGTCAAACAGGGGCTTAATA